CCCCTTTCCAAAATCTATACACCCGTCTTATTTAATTTTTTTTTAATTTTCGATTACAGCTTGATGCCACACCGTATTTTCAGTACACGTATGGAATTTTCAGCATGGATATCGGTAGCCCAAATTTACAGGCCGACCATAGATATCGGGTGTGCGCCGGTAGGGGATCGAACCCCGGACCATCTGCATGGTCGGCGAGAGTCCTAACCACTGTGCCACCGACGTATTATTCTATATACGACATTAATTATTTTGCCACTTGACATTAAACTATGGTTATAATCACAAATATTTTAATTGCACTTCATACTACTATTATTATTTCATGTATTCACAACTTTGACCTAATTCTCTCACTGGATATAATTTTTTATAAAATAAACCATATATATATGCGATTATAAAGCTTGATAATAAATTCGTTATAGAAAATCAAAACAAATGATTCAGTGAAGAGACTCTTTTCAACGAATTTATTATCAAGCTGTACAATCGTATATATATATATATATATATATATATATATATGGCTAGTTTTAAGAAGTAATATCCGGTATGGGAATTGAATCATAGGTGTGAATGCATAAAATAATAATAATAATAATAATAATAATAATATGAAATGCAATTAAAACTAAAATGTTTGTGATTATAATCGCAGTTAAATGTCAAGTGGCAAAGCAAATTAATGTTATATACAGAATAATTCATAGGATGGATAGAACTTGAATATTGTGTTCTTAATGCTACAATGGGAATTATAAAATTACTAATAAATAACAATTCCGTTACCAAATTACTCTTTTGTCCTACCTTTACAATATCACTGACTGATGTGAGTATTTTTTGTGAGTCTTCAAAAATAATATAAATACATATAAATCAAACAAAGGCTATTTATTTACATAGTGTGAAAGGCCATTTCACTCATTACGTCTGAAATAGATGAGTGATGTGTGGCGGAGGAAGTGATTGCTAGCAAGCAACCAAATCATCAGTTTAAATCACCTGCACAATGACCAGCTACTACTGTGGTGAAAGCTGTCTGTTAGCCAAAATTGGTAGACGGTAAATTTATGTCATTGTGCGTCGGTGGCACAGCGGTTAGGACGCCCGCTGACTATGCACATGGTCCGGGGTTCGATCCCCGGCAGACACACTCCTTTATCTCACTAAGCCAGTAATAAGACTGGTAAAGAGGGAAGGGTGGGCATGAGGCTAGCAACCCCATCCTGTAAAAATAAACTCTGCTACAGAAACTTCGAGCCTCTAGCCTAAAGCCCTATGTTCCACTGGGAACGTGAAGGAATAAAAAAAGATTTATGTCAATGTTTACGTCCGCAATATTGGTCGTGAGAAGATAAGAACAAAGACTGATTCAACAACCAACCACAGCAACCACTTTGCGTAGGCGGATACAGTTAGCAGATAGATGATCTGACATTCAAGAAACATTCAAGAAACAAAGAGATGAAAGATTAACAAACGTTCAGTGAGAAACATCCAATCAGAAGACTTTTTCTGCTAACAATAATCTATAATAATATACATGAAAAGCTATAAATATGTGTTGATTTCCTTAATAAATGATCTGTTGCCTGGCCCTTGTCTTCCGTTGTTACACTACTACTACTACTACACTCGCCGACCATGCACATGGTACAGGGTTCGATCCCCAGCCGACGCACACCTGATATCTATGGTCGGCCTGCAAAATTTGGGCTACCGACATAACATGCTGAAAATTCCATACTTGTACCAAAAATACGGTGTGGAATCAAGCTGTAATAAAAAATAAAAAATACTACTGCGCAGTGGTAGTAGTAATAGTAGTATATAAGCTATCGAATCGATTTTCTTCAGAAGTACAGTCCAGTATAAAATTTCAGTATGTGTGGCTTCACATTTGAAAACCAAAATGTGTTAAAACACGACACATATAGTCTGCTCCATAACTTAATTGGTAAATTTGATATCAAAGAACCTGGAAACTACCTACAACTGCTAATTTTGCTTCAAAGTCGATATATGTTGCACAGCTGTCATACCCTCCATCTATCTAGCAACTTTTCATGATGTCAAGTACAAGACACAAAGATACATCTTAGTTTCAATAATTTCCCTTTTCTCAAAGGGAACAACAACCACACCATATAAAGTTTTACTTCAATTATGCAGAAACTTCTTTCACAGCCACACAAAATAAAAATATCACCAATTCGTCCGAAGGGATTTAGCCTACACAGCTTCTTCAAACCAGTCGAAAAACCTTAGCAATCCTTAGGAAGAAACTTGATGTTTGTGTTCAGAAACGCTTTATCCGGCCCCCTTGTTCCACCATGGCCTTAGTATTAATTCTGTTATTTTTCCTTCTTTGTTTTTTCTGAATAACTCACTGTATAATAGACTCTATGTAGTCTGTTTTGTGCTTTTTTGCAATCCATTTCCAATCCCCATCCTGTAAAAATAAACACTGCCTAATAATCCATTGGGAACGTAAAGGGATTATATATATATATATATATATATATATATCCTTTGGAAGTGGGGTTATGAGAAGTTCAGTAATCTAACATATGATCGATACTGTTCACCTTATCCCTGTAGCCTCTTCCTTTAAAGTTATGCACACGGAGAAAAAAGTGACTTGCTCAAATCATTACATGTATCCGAGATGGACGTCGCAAGATCCTTCAGAACTATCAATAGGCAAAAGAGTTCAATTCTCCTTAAGTTTGCCGAAGCGGTCTCCATCAAGCGCCTGAAACTTGATTTATACATTTAGAAAGAAGCGGTTCTCAGTATTTCCTTGCCAACCTGGTAACTGCATATTTTCACCTCTCTTTCACCTGATTACGTAATGTTGAAAGTTTCCATTGTGTATGATCATTATTGTTCGGAATAGTGTTTAATATTATATATATTGCTTTATACATATATTGATTGATTGATTTTTGTGCAAGTATGCTAAAATTGTTTCCGTAGATATACTTAATAATGACTTTGGTCTGTAAGCAGCTGATGAGAGGCCAACGAAATAAACAATGATGGTACCATTTTATTCTGCAAAAATCGCTGTTGTTCTTGCTTTATTCAAATTCACTAGGGGCAATAAATGCATGGAATCCCTATTTCATCAGTTTAGATATGATCTTTATGTAGAGCTTAGGAAGCATAAGACATCAATCCATTAAAGAATGAGAATACGTTTAAATAAGTCGCAGAGATGTCTTTCACCTACAGAAGCCTTCAGTGATGCCAGGAAGACAACATACCTAAAGGTTGTCTGTATTTGCACAAGTCAGCTTCCTTCAGTGAACACTAAAGACTAATCGTCAGATCACATATAATGCCGAAGGTCACCAGCAAGGCCCGTCTGTATAATCTGAAGAAATTCACATTCCTTCTGAGATTTAAACGTGTATCACACACAATTAGCCTTAAAAAAAGAAGGTTTCACATCTGTGTTCACTGCAGCAGGGTAGTTACTGTCCTCATTACTTTTATGTTATAATAAGATGACAAACTCAAACACTCCAAGCTTTTTCGAATCGATGGTAGTATTTTTATTGCCGATTAACCCTTTTCATCATACTGCTTCTGATACTCTTCGATCGCATACCTCTTTATACTTCCCAAGTACCTGAATCACACACACTTCATCCCTTAAGTTATACATTAATGCGTTTGTTCAGCTGTCTAGTTGTTCGCCCTACATAGCCAGCTTTCTCCGCAGGAGCAACTAAATTTGTAGATACACATAGAAGTGGCACAGCTAGGCAGCTTGTCTTTCGCTTGAGCAATCATAATTGGTCGACAGCTGGAAAATGACACACAAAAGGTGGCAGCAGTATAACTCCGTTTTATTGCTCTCGATAGTCTTAGATGTAGGACTTTACTAGCCACGTCCCCATTAAATTGCAATTTTAGGAAAAAATTTTTTTTCTTTTTAACTGCTATCAGTTTCTTTTCATCATACCTGATGTTCATGTATCTATTACCTTACAGATCTACTAGGATAACCCACTTGGACCAGCGTATTTTGCATCTATCCCAACTCATTCTCTAGGGAGTCATCTGTACAGATCCATCTTGCTCTATTCGTAATGCACCTAATCAAATTAATTTTGTATCGGATTGGTACAAAACTGAGGAAATGTGTATATTGTCCTACAGATGTAGGTTCTGTATAGTCATCTCTCTTCTGTGAACCATCCTCTCTTCTGCTCAACTGGACATCAAGGAAGTCTACCATCATGTACTTCTTCACAAGTGAAGATGAACGATGGGATGTACATCATTAAATTTTACTAATATTTCATTCTCGTCAGCTTTCTCATCAAGGATAATAAACTTATCATCAACATAACGAAAATAAGAATCCACTTTATCTATTACTTGTTTCAATGGACCATTTTCAAGCTTAGCAAGTAAGAAATCTATCAAAATTGAACCCATTGAAGAACCACCCATGGTTATTCCGTCCATCTGTCTGTAATAAAGGTTGTTGAATGTTAAGTGTACATTCATAGAGAATGTTGGAAGTAGCTCTTTCAGACTCACGATTAGAATTCTGATGTCGAACTGATTTTCTAGTATTCACGCCTTTTACATTTGTTCACTAGTTCATTATAGATAAAATTTTATTTTGATAAAATCACAGTGTTATACAATAATATTTAAAACTTGTTATGATTATGAGCAGTAAATTGTGCTCGAAACGGTATCATCAGTAGATATTACTGTATAACACTGTGTGACTTTATCAAAATAAATCTTATCTATAATGAATTTATACTTTACCATAGTGCTCAAGTTTTATCCCTATATCAATATATTGTGTTCAAAATTTCCATCATTTCTCTAGTTCGCAACTTAATTTGTCTCTCCACCATCAGAAATTGAAGCAGAAAATGTCACACCTACTTTTAACCCCTTGTAAGTAGCATGCAACATTTTGTTAAAATAAAATCTAGAAGAAGAAACAGAAGAAGACGGAAGAACTAATGATCACATTTATTTACAATAATGTCATGATTTTTTTTGCTATCAAAAATACGTAAGTCACTTATTTTATAATTATAATAATTTCACATCATTCTCCTGCCTGACTGAGAGAATATATAAGGCAAGACAAAAGTTAAATTAGTATAAGATAATCGGAGAAAATTATTTACATAAAGAAAGAGCCTAATTGTGGGTTAAATAGGAATTATCGTCATTGGGAAAGGCAAAATAATCCACCAGAGAGTTTGAGTTTAATATTCCATTTTTAGATATCGTCCGTACCAACTTGCTGTAAAATAAAAAAATTTACATATGAAAAGACGGTTAGAGTAAAGAAATCAATGTTAGATATATGATATTCATGAAATAAATATATAAATAGAATTAGGCCCATATGCGTGCGTCTGTGGCACACCAGTAGAATGCTCACCAACCACGCCACACGTAGTCCGGGATTAGATCCCGGGTCGAAATACTCCTTTACCTCGCTAAGCCAGTAAAAAGACTGGTAAAGAGGGAAGGTTAGGCATGAGGCTGGCTACCATCCCCATCTCGTAAAAATAAAAAAAACCACTGCCACCACTGTCTGTCTGTTTGTATTCGACATAGAACTTTGCACCCATGTGCAGCAGTTCAAGTCGCCACACTCCCTCCTTGTAGCACACAAAGCAAGAGAAGTAAGTAGGAGAAATACATATTAGAGACAGTAAACAGAGGTGTGAGACAAAGGAATAGTAATAACGAAGAACAAAACAGTTTCATTGGAAATCATAAGTCACAAGGAGTGGATGCATCTGCACCACTGACAACGATTTTGAGCCATACCACCGATTGTCTCCAGCCATTGGTTTTTACCGTCCCGAGGATCCCAACCAGGAAGTCTACACCTTCCTACGTGGCTTAGACTAACTGTTGTAAATTTCATTGACTGGTGCCATGTTTTGGTTTGACCACCGCTAGCTCTTTTCCAGCCTAACCCTATATCAGCCAACATTGCCCGTCGAGGAAGGCGACGACTAGGCATGCATACGTAACACATGCCCTAACCATCTCAGTCGATGTAGCTTCACAGCCATGTCGGTTGATTTTCCCTCGTTACCTAGAACTCGACGCCTAACCTCAATTTTGCTCACCTTATTATACCACTTCACACAGGAGATAGAACGCAGTCACCTATGATAAAAGACAGCTAATCGTTTCATGTCTTCCACTCTTAATGGCCAGGTCTCACAGCTAGCTATAAAGGAGAACGGAGCGGACTGATGAGCAGTACGCCCACCCTTTGGTTGATAGCTGGATATCACGACTGCCACCACCGAAACTTCAAAGCTCTAGCTTGAAGCCCTAAGCTCCACTGGGAATGTAAAGGAATAAAAAATTTTTTTAAATAAAATAAAAGGCTCATATGTACTGAGGATTGTATTGAAGATGAAATCGACAATCTTAAAAATACCCTGCTGCAAAGTAGTTATCCAATCAACCGACAGAATTTTAAGTGTGACACAGTGAATAAGAAAAAGCTTTATTTAAGAGTACAGTTCAAAGGTGATATATCCAGCGACATATTAAGCTGTAGGTTAATCGGTAAGAACTTTCAACGCTGCAGATCTACATATCAGTTTCTCAACCAGACCAATACTGACACAATCCACTAAAGATAAATTACCAAAAATGGCCACATCAATGTGTGTATACAAATTCAACTGTTCATGTGGAGCTAGTTCTATAGGTCGAACTCACAGGAATTTATGTTTATACACTCGTGAACATGTTCCTGTTTGGCTTGGAAAAAGTGTAACCAAATCAATAAATAATGCCATTTTATCTTATCTAGTAGAGATGATAGTGAACACCACATCGAAATAGATGAGTCACTTACGGTTGTATATCGAATACCAAACAACCTGCACACACGATTACGTCTCTTAGCTATAGTGGAGGCTATAGAGACTGATAAGAAAAAACCTGACCTATCTGTGCAAAAAAGGCTCTCTCATCCTCTTTGTTTATCCAGGCCTACTTTAAGGTAAGCAGAGAAATAATCATCCATATTTTCATGTCATATTATGCCTTCTTATTCCATTTCACCTAGTTCACTTTACTCCATTATTATCTCTTATTATGTGTCAACCTTTCGTAGTTTACACTAAGTTTATTATGTCTCTAGTATTTTATTACAGTTCACAATTTAACCTCTGCATTTTATCACTAACACTCGATATTTGTGTCAGGCCTTGCTTGAACTTATGTTCAGTGTTCCCCATTTTGTTGGTATTTGTTTGTATGTATTTTGTGGTAATCCCTATTTCTCTCACACCGTTGAATATAACTCACCCCCACTCCCCACCCCACCCCCTGAATGAAACTCACATTATGTTAACTATATAAAAAGATTACTATGTCACCCTTTTGTTTATTCACACATTATCTGAATGACTGTGCACTTGATATACAGTACCACCTTATACCTCGACCCCAATTCGGTTTCTGATACAATTTACATCATTCGCCTTTACTGGCTATTTCATATTCTAATATTCGTGGATTTATAACTTTAGTGTGCAAGAGGAAGATGTCCGCTCAAAACTTACTTGTTTTGATATGGTATAAGTTAGAAAGAATTCATAGACCAATGAATCGAGTCCCAGTGGCTGAATGGTATATGAGCTAGCTTGCCTTGTAACCAGAAGGTCCTGGGGTTCGAACTCCAGGAGGTGCGTACTGCTGATGACTCACAAACTAGGATGAAGCAGATGTTCAGTACTCCAGTGCTGGTTTTCAATGGTTCTTACTCTAACTGATATCAATCCGTGATCAAACTCGTAAAAATAAATAATACTTGAAGTTTGACCACGGATTGATATCATTTAGAGAGAACCATTGAAAGTCACCAGAGAATACTGGACAGCTATTTTCGCAGTACGCATCCACCAGCAGCCTTCAACGAAAGGACCTTCAGGTCACAAGGCAAACTTGTAAGCGATCCAGCCACTGGAACCCGGACTAGATGGCCCATAAAAAACGGTGAAAATATTATCAGACTAAATGAAGCTTGCCTATAAAATTGGATTTACCAAGGCAAGTTCAAAATAGTAACAAATATCAAAAAGTTACCGAACTTGAAACAAACTAAAATCCCTACAAACCAACTCTTGTAAATTAATCTCACGCTCCCTAGTGAATGACTGACTCGCTACTACAGGACGAAGTTGACTGGAGGCCTCTTCAGTGAAAAGTCGTGATCAGTGGGGTCCATCAGACTGGGAGTGAGGACAAATACTCGCCGCGGATGACATTGGCTGGTGGTCAATCGTGCTAAAACCACGATTTGGTAGGAGTTAGAATTCATGGGTTGGCCACTGAGTCGGGTCCCAGTTGCTGAATGGTTTATGACCTCGCGCTGTCCTTGTAACTGGATAGTTCTGGGTTCAAAACCAGGTCGGTGTGTGAGTACTGCTGAAAAGTCCCAAACTAGGACCAAACGGCTAGCTGTCCCTGGTTTTCAATAGTTCTCCAACTGATATCAACTAACGGTTAAACTTGAAACAAATCAAATCCCTACAGTTTGACTCCTGGAAATGAATACTTGTTTTTCTACATCCAAGTGAAGTTGACAATATCCAGTGTGTCTGGTAACCAGTAGCATTGTACTAGTTCGAAACTGTCATTTGTTGGATAATAATGCAAGCAACCAACTTATAATACACAACTGCTACAAATCACGCAACATTCACTTAAAAAAAAACTTTTAGGGATAGTGTTAATGGAGGGGAGAGTGCATCAATAAAGTTTCACCTATACAAGGAACTCGGCAATTTTTGATGAACTTAGTGTTACCGACTACATATCACACCAAGAAAAAAGAGCTATGTTTGACGTTGAGTGTTACCTATCTATCAAAAAATGATTTGTACTACGCAGCAGTTACATCTCTGATTGTAGCACTAGGTGCCGCAGATTCGAATCTCAGAATGGAACACGACTTCCTTCAAGAATGCAGATACGGCTTGCTGACAATTACCAAATAGCAAGAAACCCAGTCCCAAGGTTTCCTGCCCAACTGCCTGCAACCATCTCATACCAACAGTTATTTTCGGTATAGATTATGATTGAAACCTGAATACTGGAATCAGAAGTCCACTGGGTATCTCTGCAACATGCCTGATGGATGATGATACCACAGAGAGGGGGAGAGAGACAGAAAGACACTTTAGATTAAATCTAGTTTTGACTTAAAAAAGACAGTGCCGTAAACAAGGTAGTGAATCTGTATTGATTGATGTATCATGCAGTAGGCGGTAGGCTACACCATAAATTGTTTATACCTTTTAATGAGAGGTTTCCTATGTCAGGTGAAATTGTCAATGTGAAAACGGCATGACACATACTGTGCTACTGACAAGATTTATAAGTAGTATGAAGACACAGGTATAAATATGTATATCATCTGTTTGTGAAACATGAAAAATATGAAAGGAAGACAAAAGTAGCACATTATCAAAGATATACGTAAATGGTGATTCTAATATACAGTAGGAGTATTTTGTACATCGAGTCATCAATAAATAACAGCCGCGAGTTGTTCTCCTCCATGTGCATCTATCAGTTCACCTGCTCTTGTGGAGCAAGGTATATTGGTCATTGTCAGAGGACGCTTTTCACACGGATACGAGAACATACTCCAGCGGCATGGTTTCACAAGGGAGAAAGGAAGTGTGTGCGAAGCTCTATTCTGGAACACCTGATCGACTTCTGTCACTCTGCCAACCCTGACCATGATTTTAAGATTATATGCAGAATCCATACTAACTTGTTGGCTGCGTTTTCTTCGTTACAGACTTCTAAAGACAACTGAGACCTTGACAATTCATGACTTTAAGCCAGACAGGTCTTTGTGTACAAAAAGAGGTATGTACAATCCCTACTTCTGCCTTGGCCGTAGAGGGATAGACATTTATTTATTTTGTTTATTTAGTTATTCTATGTACTTTTCCCTTATTACTAAAATATTATTATTATCATTGTTATTATTACTATTCTCACTCTAAATCTTTTCCACTTTACCCTCTTGACATTTTAAACACAAAATTATCAAATTTTTATTTTTACAATAGTGAATTCTATCTTATCAAATTTCACACCATGTTATGTAACATTTTATATTCGTCTACTAATCCTATAATTATGGACTCCTTTCCAACATCTATACACCTTATGCATTATTCTATGTATGACACTAATTATTTTGCCACTTGACATTAAACTATGATTATAATCACAAATATTTTA